GTCTCGATTCCACGGTCGTGCTCCGAAGCACAGTGACCAAATTCGCTGGTACTACTACCACCGTCGCTTCGACGACCGCGCTATCCGATGCATCAGACCTTGCACTTTCTCCACAAAGCCTTCGAATTCGGGAAACGCCATGGACGGCNCCTGTCGCGTGTTCTGTTCTTCGGACCGCTCCACATCCTTGAGTTTCCTCATTGATACCGGTGCTGAGGTTAGTGTAATTCCTCCTACACGCAAGCGTAACCTAACCTAGGTAGCATATACTCTGCAGGCAGCCAACGATACGAGCATTAAGATCTATGGTGAAAAGCTTCTTACTCTCGATCTAGGTCTTCGCCGTCAGTTCCCGTGGGTTTTCACAGTGGCCGGCACAGACGGCGTTGCTTGACGATTCGACGACTCTCTCTATAAATGGCAAAGCTTCATCCATTAATTCTGTTGGAATCCGCCCAGCTTTGCCGGGTAATCGTTACACAACGCTGCTTCGTCAACTTCCAGAGAAACTGCAACCTGCTTCCAAGTCCACCTCCGTAAAACATGATGTTTTCCACCACATCTCGACAAAAGGCCCACCCACCGCGTCCCGCCCACGGCGGTTAGCCACGGAAAAGCTTGCCATAGCCAAAACCGAATTCCAGCATTTGCTTCAACTGGGTATCACAAGACCATCATGCAGCCCTGGCCATCTCCACTTCGTATGGTCCCCAAAAAGTCCGAGGGAGATTGGAGACCACGTGGCGGTTATCGCGCACTAAATCGTGTCGCTAGCCAGGACAAATATCCAATTCCGCATCTATATGATTTCGCCCTTGCTCTTCACGGCAAATCTGTCTTCAGTAAATTAGACCTTGTCAGAGCATACCACCAGATACCTGTCGCTCGAGACGATATTCCCAAAACTGCTATCACCACTCCATTCGTTCTGTATGAATTCGTTCGTATGCCAATTAGGCCAGTAATCCAGCTCAAACGTTTCAGCTATTCATGGCTCAAGTTTTACGTGGATTAGACTTCGTCTACGCTTATATCGATGACGTACTTATCGCCAGTCGGTCCGAAGACAAGCATGTGCTTCGCTTAAAGCAAGTTTTTGAAAGATTTCAGCAATATGGTATAGTCATCAATAGCAGTAAATGCCAATTTGGTGTTTCGTCACTAGAAATTCTAGGACATATTGTTGACTCGAACGGCATCCGTACTCTGCCATCTAAAGTTTCTGCCATTTGCTACTTTCCAGCCCCCAACAGCAGTAAGAAGTTGAAACGTTTCCTTCTTCTTATCAATTACTACCATCGCTTTGTCCTTAGCTGTGCCGAGGTTGTCCAACCGCTCACCGACCTACTCAGACTGAAAACTCGCAAATTCACCTCACAGTGGAGACCGTTGCGTCATTTGAAACGGTTAATGCAGTATTAAATCGGGCAACTAATTTGGCACATATAAATCCTGATCCGTCTACACCTCTTTTCCTGGTTACTGATGCCTCACAAACTGCAGTTGGTGCGGTTCTACAACAGGAGGTCAACGGTGAAATACAGCCTTTATCATTCTTCTCGCATCGCTTACAACCTGCACAGACTCGATATAGCACTTTTGGCCGTGAACTTCTCGCAATCTACTTAGCTGTTCGGCACTTCCGACATATTTTGGAAAGCCGACACTTCGTGATTCTCACAGATCATAAGCCGCTCACTTTTGCACTCAACGCGACATCTGATCGTTATTCACCGAGGGAAACTAGGCAGTTGGATTATATCAGCCAATTCACTAGTGACATCCGGCATATTAGTGGTCGCAGCAATTTAGTTGCAGATGCCTTATCCCGTGCCCATATAAACCACTTGGTACACGCTCCGTTCGATCTGCAATTAATAGCTGAGAGCCAAAAGCAGGACGAAGAATTACAAGAGCTTAGATCACATCCTTCCCTGAAGTTCGTTAATATGCCGCTCTTAAACTGTGATTCTAAAGTTCTGTGTGACATGTCCACTGGTAAACCTCGTCCATTTGTGCCTCAGAAATATCGTCGGTCAGTCTTCATGCATTTCCACTCCATTTCACACCCGAGTATCCGTTCCACTGCTCGATTAATTTGTGAACGTTTCTTGTGGCCTGGTATGCAGAAAGAGATCCGACAATGGGCAAAACAGTGCAAAACCTGTCAACTGAGTAAAGTCCATAAACACACGGTTACGCCACCCGGAAGTTTCAACTTGCCTACACGCCGTTTCCAGCATATACATGTAGACATCGTTGGACCACTTCCACCATCCAACGAATGTTCCTATGTGTTAACAATAGTCGATCGCTTCACACGCTGGCCTCAAGCGACCCCCATGCGCGATTGTTCGTCCGAAACCGTTGCCAGACACCTTGTCGATTCTTGGGTATCCTATTTTGGTGTCCCTGAGAGCATCACTACAGATCGTGGGAGTCAGTTTACCTGTTCCTTGTTTCGTGAACTGAACCAGCTATTAGGATGCAACCATTTCAAAACTACAGCTTACAATCCTGCAGCCAACGGCTTAGTCGAACGTCTTCATCGACAACTGAAAGCCGCCATTATGGCTAAATCATCATCACAGCTGTGGACCGAATCGATACCAGTGATATTACTTGGCATTCGCAATACCGTGAAGGAGGATATTGGTTGCACTCCAGCCCAACTTGTCTATGGACAAACGCTACGTCTTCCCGGAGATATGGTATGTGTATCCACACCCAATGAAGACCTCTCACCATCGACATACGTCAGTCGACTGCAAGATCATATGCGTACTCTTCGCCCGTCTGACACTCGGAAATCCGGTCGACGCACACATTTGGATCCCGGTTTATCTTCTTGTACACATGTATTTGTCCGTGTTGACAGCGTCAAACGACCGTTGCAATATCCGTATGATGGTCCGTTTAAAGTCATTTCTCGCAAGGACAAGTACTTTGTGATTGAGAGGAACGGAAAACCGGACTCCGTCAGTATCGACAGACTCAAAGTTGCATTCATCGATGACGAGTCTCACTCAGATCCCCCTACTGTAGTCACTCCACCCACAAGTTCCCAAACCTCCAGTACAGCCATCCCAGGGAACCCCGAACATATAGCACGACGTATTGACGATCACCCGTTACCTATCCTGAAGCAAACACGTGTTGGTCGAACCTGCAAGACTCCTGTTCGCTTCGCAGACTACACCCCTTGAGTTTTGTCACATTATCGAGCGTCATTCCCTTTTATTATCCCTGACGCTCTAGGGGGGGAGTACTGTAGTGTCTGTAATCCGTTGTCACATTTACCATTCTTCCTGAACTTGAACCACACTTTGTAACTGTCGTTCACATTGTATCATGACGTTTGTTTTAATGTTACGAATACACAATTTTCCGGCGCGACCTGCTGACTTCTTGCTGAACGACTGTATTTACGCCCGTTGAACTGTTTGTTGACTGTTGAACCAGTGGGACTAAATCTCTGTGTTTGTGTCAACTGTTAAACGTCACAATAAATCCCTGTGACATTTTTTTTAGCCGTGAATAATTTTCCTACCGTGGAATATATCACGCACGCGGAACCATCTGTGGGAAATTTCGACAAGTGAATATTTCCTTTCACAGTCAGTTACTGCATTTGGAGCGGTGTAGAGGACTATTGGATCTACACATTCGTGAGTCCCCATTTGACTACTCATTCCTTTCCTATTGTGATTTTGTGATTTTGTATTGGTTACTTTGCTTGTCAATTTATCCGAACACGCTGATAAGCTCCTAGTCCGCTACAGTGGTGAAACGGACTGTTTCCATGCGATTTGAAGTAAACAAAAGACATCGTGATCGCGCACTGGGAATGAAACATTATTCGTGGGCCTCATTTCTTCAGGCTGCATCGCAGTGTGCTTGCTACTCCAGCACCATATTGAAGGGAAAAGGATCACCTCTCTATCCATCCCGACTGGCATGGTGGAAAATTAGCTTACCAAAATGAAAAATGTGCCTTTTTAGAGATCATCCAAAATTTATTTTGGAAATGTTGCTGACGTAGTCAGAGACCGGACACATCCGATCCCTGCTTTCACAAACACCCATGGTCTACATGGAATCGTATACGTTACAAGCGTTTGCATCTGAAAGCTACACAATAGTATGCTTTTTATGATGTATGGGTTACATGGAAACCCTGTTGTTCGTATCTTCTGAGGTCTCATTTGCCCCCTTTGCAGCGAGCGGTTATCGTATCGCACTTCATACATGTCATTTAAACCTTCCCGGCACCAGCTTTGCGGCAAAGTTGTACCAGGTCTTCCCCAGGACGTCCGCACAATCTGTGAAGAGTTAGGAGCTTCAACTACGCAGCGAGTGGTGGAAAGAACCGACTACAGTTCAGCCGGAGTCGTGCTGGAGATTCAGTGCTGTCACGTGACCCCCACAAAGCCCGGTAAATTCAGAAAACCCACTACAGTTGTTAGATCCTGTCAGACCGCAAAAGATGATCGTCTCACAAATGTCTGACAATGCATTGATCCGTGGAGAGGCCTGATGACCAGGCTAGCCTCTAGGTCTGGAACGGATCAAGTTCCCTCTTTGTGTGGCAGCGGCCACCTAGTCAGTGTAACCAAGTGAAGCCTGGACTGACTGTGGTCGTCTTCGGAAGGTACGAAATGTCGGTAAGACAGAGGTTAGTAAGCTTTTGGTAAGATGAACAATCTTAGCGCTTTTTGAAAGATCCTCGTGACCTAGATATCCAATGTCTATCGCACGGTTTGCCAACGGACCGATAGGATACAGATGGGGCATCCATATTTGGCCCCCAGTTGTCCATTCCGATTGAGAATAGCTCCCACACATGCCAACAGACTGGGAAGAGGCAGGTTAGTCACCGGTTCATCTCTTTGTGGACTCGATCCTGTTAGTAAATGCGTGTTTTCTGTGCACGGTTAGCCCATCTACTCGGTTGGACATCCATTGTGCCCGAAGTCAAGTCCAACATTCCCGATTCCTGCCTAAACTTCAGCTTCATCCGCATTCCCACAGTGAAGCATCCGCTTTGACCAGCTGACTGAGATTTCCTCATCTACAGATCCTGATGATCCCTCTATGTCAGACCCAAAACTATTGAGTTGAGACTTGTTCTTCCACAACATTCCTTCAAGCACGGCTAACACGAGACATTAGAAGAACCAAGCGTTCTACAGCCTCTGACTCGCTGTAATTAAGGTATGAAATACGCTTCTACCGTTTGCATTGTAGTTCGTAACCACCACGTGTCACAAACGGTGGCAACCTCTGTTACGCTTGTGTAATAAGTCCGCCTGGATCACGTCACTATATATTGCAAACACTTCATGTAGGTGGCCGGACGTAAATGACAAAATTTACAAGCTACTTTCTTTCCAAATAGACAAACACGGACTTGCAAGGTTGTAACGGACCTCGTTCATCACACACAGGATGGTCCAAGTCTCTTCACTTGTCACGCACATGTCCCCAGCTGTTCTATCAATTTCAGTTTATCAAGGCTTAGTCGCGGATCCCTGTTCTGGATTTAGAGCTTGAGTAAAATCGGGACACATGTTTCAAGCGCCTAACTGCCACCGGATCGCTGCAAGTCACGTGTGTCACATGCTGAAACTATATACAATCTAGGAGGTCTTCAGTGGGTTACACTGATGTGTAACGGCAATCGAAGTTTGAGCACTCGCGCCTGATTGTGCAGAAAGAACCCTATAGCGAACATTGGTTGTCCAATCTGCTTTTTAGCGGACGCACCTGTACACTGAGCGTAGCTTTGGAAAAAGTGATTCTCAGAAAACACAATGGTGACGAGGACATCTCTTTAAGTCACGCACAGTGACAGTGAAACTGAGCTAGAGAACGACATTCATAAGCAAGAAATCTAACACCTTTGTAAAAGTTGTGTGAATTGTAGCAAAACTGGAGCCTGCCTAACAGTTTACTGTGGTAGGTGTGACAATCAAAGGTACAGCCCAAGAAAAGTATGCAGCCACACATGACGGGCCCTTATCTTGACGCACGCTAGTTCGTTTTTGGCTGCACGTGACCTCACGTCTTCTGATGGGGGCGTTATCAGGAGACCTAAAACCAGTGAATCAAGAACACACAGGGTTGTTGAATGAGATGTGAATGAGGCGACGCAAATTATTGAAATATTGGTAGCTTGGGGTGTTAGCTGATCAACTGTTGGTCGATCTGTTCACGGAAAATGGCAGTGTTCCCACAAACGTTTCGTCACCAGTCATGGAGACATCATCAGTGCGCATTTGGGCAAAATAATAGTAGTTTAGGTGTGTCAGTTGATCATTTGGTAGTTGATCTGTTTACAGAGGATGGCAATCTCTCCACAAACGTTCCGTCGCCACTCATGGAGACATCATCAGTGCAAATTTGGGTGGGTGACGAGAAGACGAGCGGTTTGGGTGAGCGAAAAAACTGAGTTCACAGCTCAAGATTTCAGGACAGTAGTTTGAAAACAGCGAAGGAAAAAATCCATCAAACTAGACCGTTTGATTGTTTCACCCTTGCAGAACAATCCAAGATGCTCCAGCATGCTTCAGTTAAAACCCCATTCTTGTTATGACGGCATGTGACCTCATTCAGCTTGTGGAGGATGTGGTGTGCAGACTTTTTGTCTTCTGTGTAATTTTACTACTTGACGATAAACTGTTAGAAACTGATGTGCTTTTCCAGTCAGAGGGTAATTTGTTTTGATCAACTTGCATTTACCAGAATTTGGCTTAACGTGGTGTATGTACTGATCATTTTTTGCCGATGCTGGTTTATATAACTTGGAGAGGAAGGCAGCTGCAGAGGAAAAACTTGAAGTTCAACTTTGCTAGCATTCTTAAATGCTATTATGTTATGCGTCCTAAATGCTATTATGTTATGCATCCTGTATGAATATCTCATAGGCATATCTGAGGTAACCATGGGGAACTGAAGAGATGGTGGAATTTGTAATCAGAGTTTACAAGTGTTCCACACCAGGTGACCACTGAATCCGCTCCCGTGTCGAGGCAAGGGATCATTTCCAGATACGCAGCGGCAAAAAATGAACCCCCGCCACCCAAAAAAAGATTAGAAAAAGAGGATATGAAATTGGTACTTTTAGTCTTTATTGACAAGATCATTAATAAGTTGCATGAAAAGGTCCGTTTTTCGATACCTTTGCCTCCAAACGAACTCACACAAGTAGCTGTTCACTAAGGATCGGTGTGTGCCACGTTGGCGTTTATTCTGCATCTTGTGGATTTTACGGCGAGATTTTAGCGTCGCATCGACCTCGACGTCGCCGCCGATAACTGTTGGAGTCTGCAAAAGCCACCAGGCATAAACTTCCCGAACAAAGTTTGCCCAGTCAACAGCGGTCGTGTGGCTAATAGGTAATTCCTCTGAACAGAATTTGATTTTTGCCAAATTTTTGGACCGGCAATAAATGAATAGAATTACTGTCCTAAATTTCATCCTAGACCATTCCAGCCAAGTTCCCTTTCGGAGACCAATCTCTTGCTCGCATTGTAGGGCATTACACCACCTGTCGGAAACAGTTGAAAGTGTTATTTGGTAGCCATTGTTGATTACAATTTGCTGATGGATCACTCAGTGGCTTGGGGGAAAACGTATTGCCGTCTCCTTGTCATGAACGAGAGTTCATTTAAGGTTTTAGGTCCGAACGGAGAAAATGTTTGTACGAAACGAGCCCAGATGCGGATAAGGAATTGTTTCCATCAAAAATAGGGTCAAGGTTTCTGCGTACATTACATTGGAGCTGACGAAATGTGGTGGGGCTTAACTTCTGGCTTTCTAATTGCCTCGTTATGGATACACCGACGCCAACCCACACGAGCTATGGTTCTGAGATGACGATTGTCGAACACATGAGACGTCTCAGTTTCACTGCTCGAACAGGCCAATTTTGACAGCCATACAACAAAACAGCCCGCACCGTAACTTGATACACACGTCCCTTGAGATTCAGGGATACAACACCTTGACGTCATAGGCATCTCGAATAAGCAAACGCGACCCGAGCCTTGCAGATTGACCTCAGTATTGACCTCATCCACCACGCTAGAGTTGGAACTAATACAACCTCCAAGGTACGTAAAACGCTCCACAATTTCCAGTGACTCTCCCTCGGTTGTAAGTGGCATGTTCGGTGACTGCACGTCCACGAGCATGACCTTACACTTTGTGGATGCAAAGTGCATACCAAAGGACGGGATGACTTTGGTCAGTTCATTCAAAAACACTCGTGCCTTGTCCTCTTCGAGGATGAGAACGATGGTGTCAGCATATCCCAGATCGACAAGGTTTTCTCCACAGGCTATCTGAACATCGCGGTTTTGGAGACTTTCCAGCGTTCGTCCGGAAAATGAGTGGGCGTTAAAAACCAGTTCATTTGTGTCGCAAACATATTCAGGGTGCCACACTACATGAAAATGTTTTATGTGCGTCTAATGGGTAGGATATTGAGTATTTTATCAATCTCCATCGTGTCACCCAAATCGTAACCCATGTTTGTTCGCAGCTAGAGGTGAAGAAACATCAAACTGTGGAAACAGCGTTTCCTTCAAAGCGGTAACCTTTTTGTACATGACAGTTTTGGCTGAAATCCCATGGGGCCCTGTGGTCTGCTCGATGAAGACCGTGGCCAGTACACCATACATAAAGCTAGAAGGTGGGTGTTGTATCGCGGGTGGCCGTCTATGGGTTACGCCTGCACTGATCCTACCAGACTACGCGATAGGGAGAAGACAGAGGACTCGGGACATGGGTGCATTGTCAGGACAAAACATACAGAGCGTCTGCGTAAACATATAGGATGACTAAATGGCCAAATATGGTCGTCCACTTGTTCGCTCCGTACAGCCAATGGTGGTGTTCCGGTCATGAACAATCTCAGATCCACTACGCTGGTCGTGTGTTGCTAAGCCGTGTTTGGTGGAAATTTGTCGTTGTTCTTCGACGAAGAGTGAAATACAAAAGCTACACCTTCCACTTTTTCAAGCAACACCGACCACATTTTACCGGTTGGTTCCCCTAAAACTCCCAAAAGTCACTGCATATTGAAACAAGACTTTACGATTTGCTGGACTGCATAGAGTTTTGAACAGTGAACCTTCCTCTTCTGTTTGATGTGGTTTATGATTCTGACAGAGACTTCCCTGAACACGAGTTGTACTGAAACTAACTTGACCTCACGATAGTTCCTTCGCTTATGTACTTTTGGATCTCCACTTATTTTGCTTATCTGTGCGAGCCACTCACCTTGCCACAAAGGATATCGCATCCGATACTTGTGTATTGAAAGTGTGGCTGTGTATGAATGTGCGCAGCTATCCTACTGGCCTACCCATGAGCGCTCGTGTCCCGTTTGCCCGAGCCAACCTTGACTTGTTTTCTCATGAGTTCCATGTGATCGCACCGCCAGTCCGAATCGCGAGACTGTCATCGGAGTGGCTTGTTGTACACATTTGCTTGCACTTGTGTAAGTAGTACCGTAGAACTACGAACCCAATTCTTCCGTTTGATATTCGGGATGGTCGAACCTACGCGTCACTCAAAGTTCCGTATCGGGAGTCTGAACAAGTTGTTCCTTAACACATTCTAAATTCATGGTAAAATGACAGACATGTGAACTCATGTGACAACTGTATTGGTTTGAGATCTGTGCACGGCCCAGGATATCGAAAAATATCGAAATCGTTCAGCTGTAGCACCCTTTCCATGCCTAGCTGCCATGCCACCCGAAGGCTGCACGAGGACTGGGATACTGCCAGGTAGCCCAAGCCTAGACAGGGGAAGTCGAGAGGCAGAGGTTGGGTTCAAACCACGGACCTTCCGGCCAGTAGATTGGCGCTATAACCACTTGGACCATCTCGCCCGGATATACACTCAACCAAAAAGTCCTAGTACGAAGGAAACTCGAGTCCACTGCCTCCCCGCTTTGACGTAGATTAACCAGAATAACCCTTTTTGAGCAACGAAGGATCTTTGAAGTGAGAGAAATTCAAAATATACTGCAAATACGCACACAAAGAATTTATTGAAAAACATTTTCTGATATCCAGACCAGCGAAATAAAGCATCTGAAGTTCTCATATCTGTCCGTCCAACCGGCTGAAGCGATTTTCATCA